AAGGTATTTATTTTTCAATAATATATATAAATGAATTTATATAAATATAATGCTTATTTCTTTTTTATTTTCAGTTATATAAAGCAGCAAAAGAACATAATGAACTACTTCATAGTGCCTTTATGGCACGTATAGGTTTACAATATAAGAGTAATCAATTAATCTTTCTAGATGAATTATCTAAAGATGAGTAAACAATTTTTCGAGGATATGGTTATTCTGAAATAAATTCAAGAGCAGTAAAGAAAATAGTATTTCTTCAGGGTAAACATTATACAATTCTACCTGCACTTACCTTAGATGGTATAATCGCTGTGACTATTATGGAAGGAAGTTGTACAAAATTAAAATTTAGGGAATTTATAATTTCTCAAGTAGTACGAAATATAATTATAGAAAATTTTATTTTAATTCAGGTTAAAATTAATACGCATTGGTACAATTATGTAATTATAATATATCAATATGATAGTTTTAACCTGGATAAAATATATTTTTACATTAATAATAAAAATAGTTTTTTATTTTAGCTACCTCAAATGAATTCATTTCCAAATACAAGAAACGTTTTAGTACTTGATAATGCAAGTATCCATCACGATGATGTATTAATTGAATATTTAAATACATTTGGTGTACATATTGAATTCCTTCCTCCCTATTCACCTGACCTTAACCCTATAGAACTAGCTTTTTCACATATAAAAAGTTACTTAAAAAGATATTATTACTTTGCAGAAAGTTGCCCTGACCTAAATTATCTATTACTAGTTGCATGCTTGCAAATTAATTCATCACTTTCTAGTAGTTTTTTTAATGCGGCAGGTTATAAGTAAATGCTTTTTCAACTGATGATGTATTATATGGTGATATAAAAATCATATTATATTTTACAGAGTATTCATGTAGTGTTTGCTGTGCACCAATTGTATCTACTCCACATTTTATAAAATCTTCATCTGATAGTTTAGAAAGTAATCGTACAGAAATTTTTTGTTGTTCAAATTCAGATAAAAATTTCTGATAATAATCTACGGTACTTTCACTTTCATCTACATGTGTTAAAAAATCTTTGATCATAGGTAATATTGGTTTAATTTTTGGTTGAGAAGTTGATTGAATAGGCATTTGAAAAGGCATTTGAAAAGGTATTCCATAAAATTGTAAAGGAAAATATGATAACAATAGATTATAAAATGAAGGTGGAATAGATGAAATAGACGGAATATGATATTGTCCTGAAAAGTCTGGTTGATGCATAAAATTAGGTTGCTGCATTTGATTAGACACTTGTAATGGCGGTAATGATGCTTGATTTTTTGTTTTTGAAAGATGCTTGTGCGCAAATAAAGGATGGGTTGGCGGTTCTGTTGGTGATGCCATCGCTTTACTCTGAATATTTAAAAATTAAATATATATATTATATGCTTTCTATAAAAATATAAATTTACTCACAATTTCTGATGCCCAAACTGAAAGCATCATAAATATAATTTCAATATGGTTTTCCTTAGCTCCATCTTTATTCAAGCAAGGCCGGTTATGAATTGTATAATGATTTTCTTGCCGAATTTCTAGAACATTTTTTGCCATTAATGATTCTGTGGAGATAATTTTGAAATATTGGGAATGTAATTTCTATTTTTAGGATCTATATTAATATCAGCATCAGAATTATCATCAGACTCAAGATCCTAAATATATATAAATATTATGTGAGTTATATACAAAACGTTTACAGATATGTAATATGTATATATATATTTTTTAATACTAACATTTATTTTTCGTTTTAGATTTGAACTAATAAATGTTATAAAAAATCCCATACTAATATTTTTCAAAGTATATTTCCGATAATCAGCTTAAAATTTTTTAAAGTCTTGAGCATCTACTAATTGAGTACCCACTCCTGTAGCTTTTTCAGACTTAAATGCAATACGATAATTAGTTGGTTCGATTGGTTTTGTTCTCATTAAAGTTTCGACATTTATATGAATTTCAGAAAGTAATTCGTCTACAGCTGATACTTTAGCTGTAAACCATTTTGCTAGAAGAGGTGTTCCATTTTCCAACTTAATAAAGATTTCATAATTATATTCGTATTCAGTATTCTCATCAGATAAAGACTCATTATCAACATAATCCTTATTATTATATTCCTTTTCACAATCTCTTTCATTAGACCTCCATTCATATGTTTCATCAGATTCAGAAGGTTCACTCATCGAAGTAGTAAGATCATACGTTTCAATTTTTGAAAAGCTATCATTATTCATAATTGTAGAATTTGGCGGATTCGAATTTAATGTTGTTTTCGATTTTTTTGTCTTTGAAGACAATCTTAAAAAGTAGCTATTGCACCGAGAACACATGGAAAAATTAAAAGCTTCTTTTGGATTTAGTGAGTAATTATAAAGTGCTATTTTCTGACAAACATATTCTATTTGCTCTTTTGCCCAATTTGGACTGAATAATCGTGTAAAAGCATTTTTGACAGCTGCAGTCCGATTACCTCTATGTGGCGCATCAGATAAATTGCAATTACACCTTTTTTGTTGTAAGTCAATTCCACAATACAAGCATTTTCGACAACTCAAACAGGTTCCTCTACGATATTTTAGCTTTGTTTCTTGAACGTCAGCCATTATAAACAAACATCAAGAGATATTTATGTAAAGAGAGATAAAAAAAAATATGTTTAACGAAAAAATAAATATTAAAATATAAGTTTTATAATGACGTATTTTTTGTGTATGTTTACTGATCGAAACTATGATTTAAAGCATAATTTAATATATTAATTTACATAGATTCTAAATTTGGATTCTCTAATTAAAATCACGGAGATTTCCCACCATCATCACCAGGGTCACACCTTTTTGCAAACCGCTATAATGATCTTCAAATTTCACATAATTTTGCAAACCGCAATAATCGATTAATCGACTAATCGATTAGTTGCAACTAATCGACTAAAATGAATCGATTGAAAAACTTATTGCGGTTTGCGGTTTGCAAAATTATGTGAAATTTGAAGATCATTAAAAAAAAAGTAATCACGATTTCTGATTACTGATTTCCGATTTCTTCATTTTTTTGACTTTTAGATTAGACAAAATTTGTGCAGTTATT